ACGATATACGTTATAAAAATACGATACAAATACAATATAAAAATTCTGTATGAAAGTATAAAAAGTGTCAATTATAAAAAATTCCTTAAATTATGGAACCGTCTTCGTATATAGTACAATCTAATAGAAAACGCATACCCACCATATTAGTATGAAACGCCAAGAAGCGCGTTCACCAGAATCTTGCCATCAATGTATTTGTTTACATTCTACATACAATATACATTTTAAACACTAAATTAACGTTTTGACTCACACTGTATGGACAAACTTAATAAGTACTGGTATTAATAGTGATATATCAAAGACAGTGAAAATCATGAAATAATTTATTTGGAATAAAATTGAATATGTAGAATGTAAGTAGATATCGTTAGTCAAGGGATTTTATTTGGACAGAAAATATTTGGAAATTTATATTTTCTCTTTTAGTTTCGCAAAATTTCACAAATAATTCCTACTGCTCGAAATATAGATAGTAGAGTCATGATTTTATTTATCAAAATCATATTTCTCGTTCTATACTGGACTTTATCTAAGGATTATTTGGGAACAAATCTGCCACCCAGGTCCCACACGAAACATTTTGGGAAATAACTAAGCCAGGTTTTTTTTGTAACAGAGCCAACAAACTCCTACAGTAGGGTTTTAAGAAAATAAAATGAAAATGTAAATAAACCAAAAAATTAAAGAGTGTTAAGAAAATAATAAGAAACAAATAGATATAGGGTTTTTAAGAGTGAAATTTGATCACTCATTATTAATGGTTATGGTTCTATCGTATCTATCTATCTATGAATTTTGCCAGGAACACATTTTTGTTAATTCTAAATAACCTTTTTAAGCCTAAATTGCCTTATATTTCAATGTACAAGGTATTTAAAAAAATAATGGTTTGTGTTCTTGAAATAAAAGTTGCAATCAGTATTCTACGTTTATGGAAATCTAGAAGAAAAATCTCTGTTCCATTTTTAAAATAATTATAAATTTATATGTAGATTGTAATATTCCCTAAAGAAATTTAGAATAATAAAATTGTAACAGAATTAGGAGTAAATTCGCCAATTAACAAGATATGTAAGGAATTTAACTAATGTACGTATTAGCATACATTTTAGATATTTCTGTAAATAGTTTTAAGGAACTTTTTAGTTCTACTTTTATTTAGTAATATTTTTCCTTTTAAAATTAATTGTTCTGAGAAAAATATCTTAGGGCCGATTTCATAATGATTACAAGAACCATTACCTAATGGATAATTCAATAAGTCACTTTATTGTCCCATTAGTTAATGGAATTTTTAATATTCATTATGAAATTGACCCTTAGTCTTTGCCTGTTTGCATCCGATGGGGCGATATTTGACAATATAATTTTTAATAGAATTCGCAATTAAGAATGTATTTTTTGGTTTTAATAAAAAATATGGATTTATAAAACAAGTGAAAATATTTTTTTAATATTATAAATATTATATATTTTTATTACTTCAACTACTACCACTTAAGTGGGTATACATTTTTGCTGAGGTAAATAAGATTTAAATAAAATGTATGGTTGAGTTATAGGTATTTAATACATAAAAACAGATATTACATTATTTAACATTTTTTTTTTTAATAAAAAGCAAAGGAATTTGAAATTGGTTTATTATTAGTTTAATAATGCATATAAAGTGTTGATAGGTATATAATGTACACATGTACACTATATAATGTACATTTCCATATGATTAATATTGAAGTAATAGTATATTATTAAACGAGCAATTTATGGTAGCCATTAGTCACCCGAGTGAATAATGGCCATAAATTGCGAGTCTAATACTATACTTTGTCCACGACCATTATGGTTTCTTTATTAAATAAAAGTTAAGTGTAGAATGGAAAGTTTTTATTAAACATAGGTAACTAACTGGTGTTTTTTCCAATTTTCAATTTTTCGATTTTTCGATTTTTTGATTTAGAGATTTTGAGATTTTTCGATCTAGAAAATATCGTTATGAAAAGTATCGCCTATCTTTAGTTATCTACCGGAATGTGCCAGAATTACAAAAGCGTGAATTATCATAATTCACTCCGTGATATATGGGTACTAAATGCTTTTAGTTAGGAGGTAAAATATTGATTTATTATTAAGTGGTCGTGGACAAAAGAAATAATCCCCTTAAAGATTAATTGATTTATATATATTTTTAATTTTGTATATAATTTCCTATTAGAAGTTAAACCTCTACAAGTTTCATATGTTTCTAATTCTGAAGATAATGAAATATTTTGATTGATTACTTCAAAACTTTGGTTCTCCTTGTCTTAGTCTGCAATATTGATAATATTGTCCCGAAATATTAATAAAGCAGACAATAAAAGTTTTTGTCGATAGCTTTTTACTTACCTTATTACCCTATTCTCACATTCTGTCGGCAGAAAAATGCCTCTTTTTACTGGGAGATTTTCTGTAGGAACTGCAGTTGGTTTAAAATGTCTGCCAAATTTAGGAGAGTAATTAACAACAAAGGGATTTATTTCAAAGCCGTCTTTTGTAAGATGAAGAGAATAAAATATGTATAAGCTTAAGAGGAAACAAATCACAAGATATTAGAAAATATTATTCTTTAAATTCATTAAAAATGCTGTAACAGTATCCATTTTATTAGAAATTAATTGAATAATACGTACCAATAATTACAAATTGTTTATTTAATATCTTTTAATTTTCTTATGTCTACTATTTTCAGTATTAAGTACTGTTGCTACAAAAATAAAGGTTATGTAGCACTTCCGTACTTAGTGCAGCTATCCATATTTTTTTTATTTCCTTGATATTTAATTTTCATTTAGCCAATTGAAAGGACCCCGCACTTTTTACTTTGATTTTGGGTACTGTCAAAATTTGTTTAAATTTTAGTATGTTATTTTTCAGGTCTTAAAAGGCAACTTTCTTATGGACCCCAAGTTTGCAGCTCTACAGGGTGAGCTGTTAGAAGGATTCAATAGTAAGGAGGGCAGAATTAATATTTTCAAATATATCTCCACCACTCTTAAGTAATTCTTGTTTTTTCCATGAAACTTATTTCATGTGTTACACTGGTATATAGTTTGTTCATGCAAAATAAATCCTACAGAGTGTTCAAAAAATTAGATCTGTTACTGAAATATGGTATATTTTTTATGAATTGCCATAGTTGGAATATGACTTCTGACCATTTTTTGTTTCATTTCATACTAGATAATTTTTATAAGTAATAGAGCTATATAAACAACTAAGAATTACAGAAACTCATTTAACGAAAACTTGATATGCCTAAAATATTGTAGAAAGTCTTGAAACGAATTCAGATTTGTTCGTATTATAATCATAGCTATTTTTAACTAACGCCTACTTAAATGTAGAAATAATTTTACTAACTCTGACATATTCTAATAAAAAAACACTTTCTGATTTTTATATACAGTACAGATATCAGCTTTTTTACCACTTTTAAATATAATTCTATTTTTGTAGATTTAGTAGGTTTATTTTAGTTAAATTAAAACCTCATAAAAAACCTTATACAGTTTTTGCAGTAGTACTTCATCAAAAAACTTTGTGATATGAATACTGATAAACTTTTATCTTGCTTGCAATTAACATAACTTTTTTGTATTTCTTTATTTATCAATCAGAATAATTACAAAAGGATTCTATAAGCTAAAAGGTTGGCGAATATTAGACTAACAGCTAAATTATTATGACTACATTCTATTTTACATTGTATATTTTCTTCTTCTTATCAGGAACAATTTTAAAAATTGTTTGATAGTAGGTAGTTTATTTTTGTTTTTCGAGATTTGTGACATGATATTTATAGAGTAAAATGAATTCAAGATAATCCCATTACTAGATATTACTGTACATGTAAGATTGGTTCAAGAACTATAGGCATGTGTGCTAATATTTCAAGTGTTTTGTGGTACCTGGAATATGTACGATTCGAAAATTATTTGAAGTACCCTTCAACTGCTTTATTAAGGACTATTTTAGATGCTGCTGAAAGATGAATCAGATTTTGATGGTATGTAAATAGTTAATGTATGTAATAAAACAGGTTTTTAATAAATGCAGTTTCTTCTTTATTGATTTATGATTTAGTGGGAAGTCTAAAATCTATTTAAAGACACTGTTATATTTTTGTATTAAATATTATTTATGTCTTTCTGTTACACCCTGTATTATTAATAAATATTATCTACTATTTAATGTAATAAATAAGTGATCAGAAGTTCTAATTATGCTAATACATGAAAATGCACCTTATTTCAGTAATTAATATTCCTATTTATTTAACACTCTGTATTTTTTTTTTTAAGTGGAAGTAAGCTAATGCAAATATATACAAGTGTAACACATGCCATAAGTTTCATGAAAAAAACATGAATTACTTAAGTTTGACAGATATACGAGTATGTGCCAATATTTTGACTGCACTAGTTACTTTTGGTTCCTTATAACAGCTCACCCTGTACACCTGTAAACTTAAGGTACATAAGAAAGTTGCCCATAATGACCTGAAAAATTTAAACAATTTCTGTCAGTACCCAAAATCAATATAAAAAATGCGGGGTACATTATAAAAGTTATACTTTTTTTATTTTTATAATTTACAAAACAGTAACTTCGGTTATTCATTTGTATTTAAAAAAAATTACACATTTATTTAAATTACAAAATATAGCCCAAAAATGCTTGAATTATCCGTAGCTTACGCTAGTATCGCTTCTCCTCCCCATACCATTACTGATCGAATAAAAAATAAATCAAAAAAAGTAAAAAATACTTCAAAATATCAAGAATCTATCGTTTATTAATAAATTACTTACTCCGAGAAAAATTTGTTTTTAAATAATGAACCGTCCTCGTACGTTGTACAATCTAATAGAAAACGCATTCCCACCATATCAGTAGGAAACGCGAAGAGTCGCGTCCACCTGAATGTCTACTGTCAATTCAGTTCACCGTAGTGATCACTTGTGTGTACGTTTGGTAGTAGTTCCTATACGGAAAGTTCCCCGTGCATTTACGAAATTTTCTCGAAAAAAAAAAGTGCGTGTTTTCCAATCGTGTGCTCTGGAATGACTAAGTAAAAAATTGTCAAAATTCGAAATTTCATCGCCAATTTTGAAAATTTGAATTATTTTAAAAGTTTTATTTTTTTTCGCGCGCGGATTTTGTTGGGACATATACTGACCAGTTTTGGAGGGTCTCTTAGTGGATTTTGGTGTTATATTTTTAATTTTTTGTGTACCGGCCCGTGCTATGTTGAGGTTAGAAAGTTATAATGGCTTTAAAATAGTCCAGGAGCTGGTCTAGTAACAAACGTAACTATTTTGTAAACAAATAATACTTACTGTTTATGCATTTTTATATGCATATTATGAATATTTTTAAAAATATGCAGGTTTTACTTTCTATAATTAACCGAAAGATAGTGATTTGTAGGTCTGATAAAATGTGTTTTTTAATATATAGGGTGGGACATTTATTTCTTCTCGGGACATAGCAACTAAACTAGAAGATTTTGAAAAAAGTTCAGTATTATATAGCACCAAAGAAGTTAGATTTATGAAATAATTTCGATTACATAGGGTGCTATACCGAGTGACAATGAGACTAGGACCAAGTTAATATCTCTTTTATTTATCAAGCAATTTGAAAATCAAATTTGGAACAAACATACTAGACATGATTTCGAATTGACACTTATACTAAATCAAAATGGCCGATTTCCGGTTTTACCGGATGCCATTAAGTTTTATTTTTTTAAATAGATCATATATATGTTATGTTTTTTCCAATCTACGCATCAAATTACATATGACAGTGCTGCCACATTTTTATTTTTTCCAAAAAAGAAAATTCGACAACAATGTCATATGTAATTTAAACCGTAAATGCCAAACAAAAACATAAAATATACAGCGTGATTCATTCAAAATATCAAACTTAATTATGCCTAGTAGGATTGTTCCAAATTTGATGCAAATCTCTTCACAAACAAAAGAGATATTACCATGATCCTGGTCTCCTTGTCACCCGGTATATATAACCACAAAACCGGTATCAAGGTCATTTTTCTTAATGAAACACCCTGTATTTTTTTATTATTTGAGTCTATGTTTAGTAGAACCAAATTTTGTTTTTAAAATCGAATGCGGCGTACCCGGGCTAATCGAAAATATAATATTTTTCTGAATAAATTACTAGTTTATATAAACTGGCACAAAAATGTATTTAATCTACTTTAAATTTTATGAAATTTCTCATGAAACATAACACATAGTAAAACTAACGTGTAAACATCTCCAATTCGGTCATTATATAGTTTAACCACTTTTCATTTGTATTTGTAGGTATTACTATTGTAAACAAAATATCCGTTCCATATCTTGTGCAAATGTCTCAAATCAAAGCTCAGAAGTGTCACTATTGCGTATTACGCTGTTGCCAAGTCGTACAAAATTTTTTCTATCCTATTATTTATTGTTAAATAGTATAGCGATTCATTTTTAATTATTTTCCTTGTCCTAACAATATTTTGAAATATTATAACTATTGATGTTGTTTTACCCACCCAGACCCTCTATTCACTCTATTTCCTGTAACATTGTTGGTAATAATTGAAAATAAATATATTTATTTAAAAAAATATATATTTAATTATTATTCATTTACACACATGATATGGAACTTAGGTTTTTTGTTTACAATAGCGATATCTACAAGTTACATTATGTCTAGTTTTTAATAATCCAAAGGTGGTCAAACTAGATATTTACCTTAAATTTTGTAAACCATATAATATTATGTAAACCAATAAATATTTAATATTTCAAATTGGCACAACTTTTTACTTTCCTGTCTGAATGAAGATGAGGAAAGTATAGGAATCATGATTTTTTTGACCTCGAGTTTTCGACGGATTTTTACGTTTTGGGGTCCCTTAAATCCATTTTGACTATTTTCGCGATGATGTCTGTGTGCGTGTCTGTGTGTCTGTATGTTTATATGTAAACTCGATAACTCGTGAACGAATACAGAGAACACCAAATTTATTTCTTAATCTTTAATCCATCCTGCGATGAGCTGATTAGATTTTGAACAGAGTCGGAACATCTGGAGGGTACTTAATAGGGGGTAGTTTTTCTTTTTTATGGAATATATATCTTATTTAAGCTTGGAGAAGAAAATTCTTCTAATAAAAGTTATTTGTAATTTTATTCTATACTCTATAAGTATAATAGCATACATATTTTTTCTTAAATGGTCCATATTCGAGAAATTTGACAAAAAGTGGAAAATTTGAATTTTTAAGAAAATTGTTCAAATAAAATTTGTTTGCGATATCATTCTTTATAATTTTTGTGAAAAAGTGTAATATTTAAATTATTCAGTATTTTCGTTGGCAATGAATTGTATTTAAAAAAAATGTTTCGAGTAAGATGTGGGTGGAATTCCAAATATAAGCTTTGATAATAAGTTCATACGTCAATTTTGTGAGCCACCTAACTAAAAATCATAAATGGAAGGTGGTAAATGTCAGGCTTTGGTATTTTGCGAAATAAATTGTTTATTGTTAGCTTGCTGGTTGTGTAAGGTAGTTTGCGATGGTATGGTATGCAGCGAGTGAACCATAGATTATGGAACGTGTCGAAATTTGTTCCGTTTGCAATAAATTTTTGAAATTATGTTGCATCTCACATTGTTTTAATTCATGAATGAAGCCACGGCAATAAACATTAAATCAGTGAATTGTAATTGAATGATTTAAAAAATTACTCTATCGATGCTAATAAAAGGCCTATTTACGTATTTACATCTGGGTTACGATATCTGCTTAAATGTCAGCTCCAAATTTATATATCGCTCTCCTCAGCAGATACTTAAATTAATTTTGCTCTTCTGAACTATTCTCAATTCTCCCTAATAAGACCATTTCGGGTTAGCGTCACCATTAGAAATCTGTCTCGTACTCGGTACAGATTAGGATCTAGAAACCAACTAATAGGTGTCTCCTTTCTTTTAAGGTAGAATGTCTAGTCTTCCCCCGAAAGTTTTATGTTTCTGGATTGTTATCCATGAAAAAGAATTTTAGAATTTGCCGTCGTGCAATAAAGAATTCAGTGTATTTATAAAATGTTTAGTAAAAAAAATATTTAAAATTTAAATTTAGACTAATTTGTATTATTTAAAAATCAGTATTAGAATTAAAAGGATTTTCTCATTTACAACTTTTTATCAGTTGTCTGTCTTACTTCAAACAATACAGTTATACAGGGTGTTAGTATATTCGACTCTACTCTACTCCAAAGGGCTCTTGTTAATAGACCTTTTCATCCGTACCCTGTTGTGAATCTTGGGGGGGGGATAACAAAATTGAACATGGAACAAATTTTTATTATAAATTTGAATATTCTATTTTTTATAACAAAATCTAGTCCCCTAGTCCAGGAGCTGAACCATATTATCGTTTTTAAAGTGCCGCGAAAACTCATCACAACAATTTTGAAATAATTTAATTTTTTATTTCTTAAGGAGGTCCTTTCGCCACCAATGTTAAATAAAAAATATTAGATTATGACTAAAATTAATTTTTTTCTAATAGTAGATGTCCTTATTTATCTAATAGTGTACTTTTAACTATACCTTACCGTGCAAATTTTTGAGAAAATTTTTTTTTAAAAATGTGTGTGTTTGTACAGTGTCTTATGAGAAAGTAAGACTTCAACAACAATTTTCGAATTATAATTAATTTTACTATTATTTATTGATTAGATGGAGTAGAAAAAAACTAAAAATAAGGTTACCGTGGAATTTATTGAGAAATTATTATTAAAAAATCACAAAAAATTTTCATAGGTTACCTATTAAATAAGCTAGACTTCATGAATATTTCGAATGCACTAATTACCCAAGTTAATTGACACAAATTTAATTTTTCAAATATTTGGTGTGCCACAAGGTTCTATATTGGGTCCGTTGTGCTTCATTATCTTCATTAATGACATAACTTCAAAAGTTGATAGTAAATGTTTGCTTTATGCTGACGACTTAAAATTGATTTCAAATATTGACTCTTGATATAATTTCCGAATTGTGTTCTATTAATAGTCTAATGCTAAAAGCTGGTAAATATAATATATGTCATACACTCATAGACATAGTTCTATCCGTTATGACTATAACTTAGATGGTAGAATTCTTAATAGACCTGATACGTTTAATGACCTAGGTGTCAAATTTGATTCCAAACTAACCTTTGCGGATCACATAAGTCACATTGCTGCATCTGATTACATTTTGGGCTTTATTTTACGATCGATAGAAGATTTTAATATTGTGAATACCTTCAAGCTTCTGTTCTGTGCTTTCGTCATCAGTGGAATTCTCATCTTTCCATACAAGATCTGTCGAGACGCCTATCTTCGTTCGACAGACTGCGATTTTTATGTAATGTCTCTCTCTGTTTGTGCTCTGTTTGACACGTAACGTGTCGAGTCAGCACATAATCTCTGTGCAGGTCTAAGTTGGAATTATTCACTACATATTATTTTACAATTAATAATATAAAAACTAATAACTAAATATATCTAATGTATAAAATAAATGTCGTTCTATAAATAATTTAATTTCGTATCAATATTTTATCATATTAGACAATTGTTACTACCTTATAGCCATAATACCATAACAATAGAGTGACACAGAATCTATTTAAAAAATCAACAATTTATTGCGCGATAAGGACTCGGTTATAAAACCAAAGGTAAACTTTGCGATATGCGAAATGTTTGTAGTCGTGATTCTTTTAAGGCTAATAGTCTGATAAGGATAAATTATCTCTAATTAATTACGTACGCCCGTGAAAATAATGTTGTCGCTGTATGAGAAAAAAAATAAATTACCGAACTCTAATGATTATAAATGGTCTAAAAATGGTGTAGCCTAAAGGATAAAGTTCAATTTTTTATTGGTTGTAGTTTCATAAATATTCAACTTGAAATTATAATTCAAAGTAATTTATTTTTAAAAATTTATAGAATTGTACAACATATGTAACTGGTGAATCTTGTAATTTTATACACTTATTGTTTGGAACATTTCGCGTCATTACTCGAAGTAGGCTAAAAATTTGCAAAAAGGTTGCCATAGGGGTAATAAGTTGCTATTTCGAACGTTTCGATAGGGGGATAGGCAGAAAGGGGTATGATAAATCGATTTTTCAAAAAATTAACTGAATTATGGATTATTTTCAAATCTATGTTTTTATATTTCCTTTAAAATTGATTATTCGATTATCTTTGAAAAATCTAAAATAAAT